AATGTATGTTATTTGGGTGATGGATACACTAAAAGCCCTTAACAATCTATGCATGTAACAAAATTACACATATATTCCATAAATTTATAGAAATTTTAAAAGGAACAGGTGATCAGCAATGTCATGGCGAACGTTTAGTGATTTGCTTTGTTTAAAATGATCACACACAGCTATTTGAAGTAATCTTTGTGTATAATGTAAATGTCCCATGTAGCATCTTTAAACTGGAGGAGAATAGATGATTCATTGCCTTAGAGAATATTGCTTTCTTTTTCACATACTTTTAAAGTAAAATAAAAATTTTTTGAAGTTTACCAAATTTTTGAGCACATGTCTATGAGTAATCTTAAAGTCTAACACACTCCTAGCAATTTAGAAGAAAGTTTCTGTGGAAACACATTTTCCAGTAGTCTATAATCATCTACAGTCTGCTTTGTACCATGCACAGAAATATTTAAGTGTGTTGATGATATTCATTTTCACTTGCAATCTGGTTTAACTGGCAACTGGCAAAACCAGTTGAAATTAAGAAGATGGATATTTTGAGCTAAACTACAAACAATTCTGCTGGAAATAGAACATGATAACTAAATTGCTATCATTCATGCCTTGCTCTCTAGAATCTGGCTAATGGAGGATTAAAGAGTCTACCACTTTCCTACATTGAACATAACAAAACAGACGAATACATTGGCTCTCCTTGAGCATCTGAAATTTCCTCCAGACATCTCACAAATGCAAAAAGAAAGTTAGTGCCAGGACAAATATTATACTAAACAATTTCAACAACACCTAATATGTTAAGCAGGAATTTCTCTCTAAACTCTATACACCTAAAAAAAAATACCTTAGTTTAAGTGCAGGTTTAATCCACCACTGTGTGCATCCCACACAGGGATAAGTTCATTAATCTGAACCAGCGTTAACAGTTTATAAAAATATTTGGTGTGTCACTCAGAGTATTTCTCTGAACTTAACTATTACCAGGACTTAGAATCTCTTTAAACTAAGAAAAAAGGAAAAGCCATCTTAGAGAGAGGATGGAATAACAGCATCTGTTCTGCAAAACATCCCACAACAATTTGCTTAGTTTCTCTGTTAATTATGCTCCACATCAGGCTGGGAGACTTAACAGGTAAGCTTTTATTATTTACTCTGGTCTTTTTCTAGGAAAATGGCCCCCCTGGTGGGCATAAATCTATTTTTAAAGAAAAATAATTAGTTATAACTGCTTCTCAAAAATTGATGGTGGGGGGAAGAAGTAAAAATACTTTAGACCCAAAGTTTATTTCGTTTTTTTTGTGGTGGTGGCAGTTTGTTCTCTCCAAACTTTTAGTTATTTCATACACATGGACAAGAAGCGTCACTGTCAACTTTAATACCTATCTAACAGACTGCATGAGGATACCCAAAAGCAAAAGCAAAATTGTGTTCCAAGACTCTAATAAGAGAAAGATGCCACAGAGAAAAGGAGATGTGAGCAGATCAGTCTTTGAGGTAGAACAATCCCAATTTCCGGTTTCTTGCCAACTGCCAAAGAATTTCAAGGAAACCCATCTCGCCACTGCAAGAGGAAACCATAAAGGTCTTTGGAAAAACTCATGGGAGAGGTACTTCTCCTCCCATTCCTTCACTATAAGGAATCATATGATAGTAATTTTCAATCAAAACAAAAATGTGAAAAAACACTGTTGACAAATTTTATGTCACTATGGCAAACAGTGTAAAGTAACTGAAGTTCTAGCAGTTATGAGACCTTTTTCACTCTGAAAATCCCATCTCCCCTAAGAATTCTTTACCCACAGGAGGCTACATCTTTCTATTGGAGTCATACGTGTTGTCTTTTGTCACTTACCTATTTGTAAGTGATTCTTAGCTCTTCAGCTAAATATTATAGTCTTGAAGATCAGGATATATGATTCTTTTTTTTTTTTGGATACTTGCATAAAAGTGATATTCATTAAATATTACTATACAAGTTGATTAATGAGTTAAGTATATTTAAAGAAAAACAAATCAATCATCAAACAACACATATTAATTAAGACCCTACTTTGTATGAAGGGTAATGCTACAGACAAAGGATGATACACACACACGCCAGTGTCTTGACCAAGTAGGTTTATTTTATACTTAGGAAAATAAGACCTAAACTGGTGCAAGGCAGCCAATGATGCATAGATAATAAGTATAAAATGGGCAATTAAAACTTATGAGCATAATTCTTAATTTACATATATGTATATAATTTATGCATATTTGAGTTTAAGTGGAACTTTAAAAGCAGATGGAGCCAACACTGCAGGCAGAATGTGTCATTGTGCAAAGCTTTATCCCACCACAAACAGTGTCGGGGTAATCCAAATGTCTGGAGTTAAGTCCCATTAAAGTCTTGGTTGATCTTATCAGTACTCATATGAAAAAGTTATAATGATTTTACATCTCTATAATATATACATTTTTAAGTTAGAGACATTAAAAAGAATTAAAATTAATATCTTCCTAGCATTTCTTTGGGAAAATAGACACAACCTTATTATAAAACAAAAGAGTAGGTATTACCTCAGGAAAGTTAGATACTGTTTGCCTTCGTAGACTGTATGTACGTCTACATGCACAGAGCATTTATTATGAGGATTTTGAGAAAGAAAGCCTAACTGACCTCAGTTTCATAATATCACATAATTGTGACTGTTCTTCATCTGTAAAATAAGAGCATTAAACAAAGTGATGGCTGAGTTTCCTTTAAGTTTGCTTTATTTGTCCAAAATAAATACCAGAGATACCCCCTGACTAGAATGAAATGCCTCCTAGCTGTTCACACCAAGTAATTACTTTTGTATAATGCATTCAGCCTGGAGAACTCAAGGATCTCTGAGATTTTACTCTATCTAATTATTAGAAAATCTCCGTAAGATGAGTGTTACTATCACCACTCTTGAAGAAGTTAAGTGAAGGCTTAGATAAATGAAGTTGCTTGTTTATGGAAGGTCAAAGAAAAGAAAAGCAGGAAGAGCCAGGAATACACCTGACATCATGGATCGTTTCCTTTGCTATGCCCTAGATGCATTTCAAGAACAGATTGACAGTAAATATCACTTCTATGGGTTTAGAAAACAAATGCATGGACACATGGAGACAAAGTCTGAATCTGCTTACTGGAAAGGCAGAGAGCTGTCCTCTAGTCAGACCAAGTGATCTGTACTGCTGAGATGCACTTGAGTGAGCCAGTGGGGTAAAAGGTTTTAAGAGTCTCAAAAAAGAGAACTTTTTCTACTGCTTTCCTTGAAAGGTCTAGATTCTGCACACTTCTCTGGGCCCAAGACACTCTCTTTCAAGACTACGTCTCTGAGAATTCCAAGCTTGGAATGTAAGTTACATATCAATTATCATTCTGTCAATTTTACAGGTAAGAATATAGCACAAGGCATAGAAAATTCACATATTCTGAAGCCACCCGAAATGAATTTTGAAATAGAGATCTGCCAACTTTTTTACTTGTGAAATCTGGAGTATGATGGGTAACCTCTCCCCTTCCTTATCTGCAAAGCAGAGATAACAATAAATCACTCCTATGAGTGTCTCAGGCATTAGATTATTATGCAAAGGACCTATCATGGTGGGGTCACTTAGTTGCTGTCTAATTATTGCTAACCTAAAAGGTTTTTGGGATGGTACTTTCACTAAGTCACAAAGTTTCTTAGGGAAAGTGTTCAGGGCTTTGTTTAGTTGTCTCATTTCCCTATAAAACAGGGCCTCTACAGAAGAATCATAGTTAGCATTTTGTTACTAAGTCATAAAAAGCACTAAGGTTCATCTTTAGCCACTGGATTTATTAGAGTGAGCAAGGACTAGGGGCCTGAGGCGAATCACTATGGGAAATAAATTAGGCAGAGTGAAGAATGAAACTCACTGTTTTGCAAACACAGGTTAAAAATGCATTTGTGTGAATTTTCTTTGGCTTTGTTTTAATGAAGGAATGAGGTTTGTGGGTTTTAGCAGACTCCCACAGAAGCCCATTTCCTCCTCAGCACTTGCTTCCATGGAAGGCCCATGGCAAACTCAAGGCAGCTGGTAAGTTTAGCACTTTTCGATGTCCAAGACAGTATGTAAGAAAGAAGGGCCAGCATTTTCATTGGACTGTCAAAGCAAAGATTGCAATAATTTTGTAAAATTTTGCAAAAAAATGATAACTGTGAAGGCTACATTGGCTTGATCACGGTAATCCTCTCACAATGTCTGCATGTGTCAAAGCCTCATCACATAGTACACTGTAAACATGCACAATGTTTGTCAGTTATACCAAAATAAAGCTGGAAAAAAAGGAAAAGAAAAGAAAGTGACAATTGATATATTTGTTGTGTAGCATCAAATAAAATTGCATGTGAAGTAACATCATGTTTGTAGAAACAAAGGAACTCAACAGTCAATGTCAATCTCCTGAAATTAATATTCAGGCCAGGTGCGGTGGCTCACATCTGTAATCCCAGCACTTTGAGAGGCTGAGGTGGGCAGATCACAAGGTCAGGAGTTCGAGACCAGCCTAGCCAACATGGTGAAACCCCATCTCTACTAAAAATACAAAAATTAGCTGGGTGTGGTGGCGGGTGCCTATAATCCCAGCTACTCGGGAGACTCGTTTGAACCCGGGAGGTGGAGGTTGCAGTGAGCCAATATCGTGCCATTGCACTCCAGGTTGGGCGACTCAGCACGGCTCCATTTAAAAAAAAAAAAAGGAAGGCTAGGATCTTAGAGTCATGAAGAACCTGTCTAAAGTTTAGAAAAGCTGAGCGGAACATTGACGCCTCCTTTAACAGACTCATCATAAAGGAATTTTAAAAACCAGGGCTTCCCCACACATCAAAATATTCTATAACATTTCAGTACATAAATGTGTCTTTGGGTTCTCATTCCACAGTCGCATCTGACAACCCTATGTTCTCCCTTCTAGCTTACCCCCATAGGCAGCCTCCCCACACAAAAATCCACCTGCAACTCACCCCTACTTCATTTTTCTCCTTCTTTGCAAAGTCCTCAGGCTGGAAACCCTAATTTTGTTTCTCAGCAAGGCTTCCTTGCCTCATGCACCTCATCTGTACTCTCAATGGGTTGCTGATGCCATAAACTCTGTGTTCCGGCCCTAATGGAAGGCTCATGTTAGATTGTTATGTCATCCTTCTAAGGATGCCTGCATGTGTACAGAGGACATTTGGGAACACAGTATCTAACTCACTAGTTATGCCCCCTAGTAATTAGTGCCAATGAAATATGAACAAGGCAGACAGTTTGAGTTGAATGTAAGGTGGAGATGAGGGTGGTCTTCAGAGCCTCCCCTGAATTTCAGCACAGAGCTTTCCCTTTCCATGCTGTGCTCTTTCAAAACCAATGGTGGCACCAAAGCATCCCAGATGACTGACCACAAATGGGTGCATCACCCCAGCCCTGCATGGAGGTGGGTGGGAGAAGGAGGGAGAAAGGTGTGCAGAAGTTCCCAGAAAGTTTTCAGGACTTTTTCCTCTTTATGCATATTTTCTCTTATTGTCATCACAACAGTATCTTTACACACAAACTCATTTTCAAAAAAACATAAAATAGGTCACATGGGGTGGCTCATGCCTATAATCCCAGGATTTTGGGAGTCTGAGGCAGATGGATCACCTGAGGTCAGGAGTTCAAGACCAGCCTGGCCAACATGGCAAAACTCTGTCTCTACAAAAAATACAAAACTTAGCTGGGTGTGGTGGCATGCATCTGTAATCTCAGCTACTTGGGAGGCTGAGGCAGGAGAATCAATTGAACCTGAGAGGTGGAGGTTGCAGTGAGCCGAGATTGGGTCACCGCACTCCAGCCTGGCTGACAAAGGGAGACTTCATCTCAAAAATAAAATAAAATAAATGAATATTTTTATGAACAAGCACCAAAGGAGATATCAGAACGTTCCCTTATAGACTTAGAATATAAATGTCATGAGTTGAATCAGAATCCCCCTGATTCATAGCATACCCAGAATGTCCACTTAGTCTCATTCAGCAATCCCCTGGCTAAGAGCTTGGAATAAGAAATGAGGCACCCATCTCCTCCCCCAAAGGAGAATTCAGAAGATATCCCTAAACATACATGCAGGGAGAATCTCTTTGGAAAGTTTGCACTTTAGAACCCTGAAAGTTATATTTTCTTTCATTTTTATGTGCTTTCCAGAAATTTCATGAATCTCTGCTTACAATTTATATTATTTGTGAATATGCCAATAGAAATTGGTATTTGAGAGAATTACAAGTTTTAGTATGATTTAGAAAGTCAACAGAGTCAGCCTCCAAAGAAACATTATGGAAAATAGCAGCTTCTTCATATCCATGACTGGGTGGTGCCCCAGCAGCGAAGATCAAGGTTATTGATCTCTTCTCTATACATCTGCCCCTACACATTTGGATCTACTGCTGAGGTTGAGTATTACTGGCCACCTTTTCCCTGCAGGTGAAACAGGGGCTTTCGGGTAATATAGCCCAAATGCAGCACTTACAGCTTTCCCAGGAACTGGGAAGACAGCAGGAAGCTTGTCTCCTCACTCTCACAGGCAGCGTAACTAACTTAGAGATCTAAGCCTGTGAGTCTTCTAAGTCTATTAAATGCTTACTTACTTTCCATTGTGTGCAAGCCACCTGGGGAAGGGGGCAGGGGGCGGGGACTTGGAGAGCAAACATTTTGAACTTGAAAGAAATAGTCAAATCAAGGAAAATAAATAATGTGTAGCTCTTTTCCAGGATAAATATGCAACTACTCTTCTTGGGGTAATAATTATAATAATCTCTTTTTCTGCTTTTTTACTCAGAGGTAAGCATTGTGCTACATTATCTGTTAGGTTTTTATTTTAAATTGAGAAGCTAACTATCATTTTCACTGAAAAACTAAGTAAATGGCTAAGGCAGTATGTGACAGAGCGAGGTGTGGTTCCCTGGTCCCTCTGACTACAGCCCACACTCATGCTGTCTCTGCCTCTGCTCTTACAGTATCTACCAGAGTAGGGAGTAGTTTATTCTAGAATACTTCGCAAGAATGGAAAGACCAGGAGTTTGAATGTCAGCATAACATGGCTTTCTTTGAATGCAAACTCTGCAATATAGTCAATGTGTAACCTTAGACAAGTTGTTTAACACCTCTTACTGTCAGTTTTTCAACCTATGAAATGTAAGAAATTGTCATGATAGTTCCTAGTAGAAGGCCCAGGATGTATTAATAGGTTCATAGTAACTATTACTTCTTTTCCTCCCTGGAGTATAGGGGTGGGGAGAACTATTGTTTTCTTAACAAGGACTTGAGAAAAACCCAGTAAAATTGCTAGCATCTCAGTAGGGGGAATAACGTGACCAAATAAAAAACCAAAAGTCATTGACTGTGAAATAAAATAGAAAAGATTCTTTCTGGAAAGAGAGATCAACAATTAGAGAAAGACACCCAGGTTAGAGCAGCAAGATTTCTAATAAATATTTATAAAACAATAAAAAAGACGGGAAATGAAAGCATTAATAGCCAGTTTGATAAAATGCTGGCCAATCCATAAGTATAGAATTCTGTTCATCAAGATCAAGGAAATCATACCATTACATTGCATTACATTATTGTCCTCTGCTCTCAATAAAAATAAACATCAGATACAGTGTTTATCTCTGAGAAAAATGCATGCGCTAATCTTAAATCAAGTCCACATATTTTATTCCAGTGGAAATATGAATATTTTCCTGGTAAATCTGCCTTAACATCCAATGATGGATGTTCCCATTGTTCTTCAGGAACAAACAAGGTAGGATTTTTTAGAGCAATGTGCAAAATGGAAACGTTTGAGAAATAGTTTCTCAAATCACAGTGTGTAGTCGCTAATGGGCTATGACAAGCTATTTTTCCAGTCTTCCATTTTCAATCCATATTTCTGAATAGCTTTGTGAGATTTTGCATTAGTTTCACAGATTTCCCCAAATGATTATGCTGCGGTAATCGAATAAGGAGCATCTGCAGCAGGTTGACTGTATCACACAGTGTTTATGAGAATGAAGGACTGTCACGCACATGCTGATCGGAGGAATAAGCTTGAAGATTACTATTATTAAACAACCAACTGTTAAAAGATCCGCACAACATATTAAGGGGAAATATAGAATAAATTGATTTTGTTGCTTAAGCCAAATATTTTGGAATTCGCCCACATTAAGCTCTCACTTTTTCTCACCATGGTCCTTGATTTTGTGATAAGTTTGCATACATTATTCTTCCCCGAGGTACATTTAGTTTAATTAAAATTTCCTATTACAAAGTATTAAAGCCAGCTTCTCATAATCCTTAGGAAACTTGGCGTGGAAACATATTGCTTCCCTAACACTTTCCTGAAGGAGCTCTGATGACTTGACTCAGGCAGGTTTAGAGACCAGAAAGCCATCCAGAGAGGGCAGGGACCCAGCCATCCACCGCCTGGTTCCACCCACACCCTAAGGTTCGCCTCCTCCAGGCAGCATCACAGGGTAACAGGGCTAGAGGTTAAGACACTTGTGTTCTACTTTGGAATCTACCAGCTGACCTTAGTCTTTTCATATTCTATTTCAAAATATTACAATGATGTATTTTCCTTACTATTCTATAAACAAGGATTCACATTTAAAACACCAAAAATGACAGGGTATCGAGGAGCTTATTTTCCATCTGAGCTGCACTCGGAAGCTTCTGCTGTCCTCATGCTCTCCCCCAGCATTGGGTGAGAACCTACTGTGTGCCACGTAGTAGGCTAGAATCTGGGCGTACAGAGACGAGTAAGGTCAAATCCTCTCTGCCAAGAGATTTACAGTGTCATCATGAAAGCTCCCTGCCTTAATCCCTATCTCACACTGACAGCTGGTCTTGAAGGACGAAGAGCTGCAAGTTCTGCTAGTCATTCTGAAGGGGAAAAACATGCTCTGTCACAATAAAGCAACCATCCTGATGAAATGAGTGTTAAAGTATTCAAACTGTGTATTTGAAGGTATTTTGTCATCTTTTTTCTCACGTGGTCTTTCCTCTGATGGATCTGTGATTGTCAATCATCCATCCTTGCAACATTTAAGAAAATAGAGACCCATTCTGTTCTCAGAAAGCACCACACAGAGATTCTAAAGCACTAATCAGGATATAGAAAAACACCCCAGTCACCCGGCACTGGAAACGGAGAAGTGCTTTCGGAGCCATACTTCCTGCTGCGAGGTCATTAGCAGTGCGTCCATCCACAGCAAAGTGTTTTGCCACAGGTAATAATGGCTTAGTTATTTCTAATGTTTTCCAAATGTAGCATGAATGAACCAGCCAGTGCTTCTGTCAGGCCAAAGCAAAGGCTCTTTTGTTGTTGTTTATTTTATTCCTCGTTTCTTACTTAGCAGCAGAGATCTTTTTAAACTTCTAAATAACTCGTGCAAAAAAAAATGTCTAAAATACGGACACAGATACAGGAAAATGTCTAGACACGGCTGTCACTTCCAAAAAGCAGGTCCACAAGTCCTCTGTGCCAGTATCTTTGTGGTTCACCATTAAAAACATCTCAAGTATTTCTTCTTCAAAAAATGTCCCATTTATACTCCCAAAGTCTTTCCAATTTACCTTTTTATGCTACCATTTCTCCATAGTACTGTGCAGTTAGCTGGTTACATTGTTCCAGTTGTAGAGACAAAACCAGACAGTTTTATACTCCAGCTTAACTGAATGTGCAATACCGTCTTAAGATATCTTACTGTTCCAAGCCTTAATTTTCTCAGTAAAACGCAACTAATAAGCAGATATTCTTTGCAGAGTGAAGAGAAGTTACGTCATGCTACGATAACAAACAAGCCTTCATTCAGCGGCTTTACGAAATAAAACTTCATTTCTTATTCATGCAAAGTCTTCTGCAGGACCACAGGGCCTCTCGGGGATCCAAGATACCCAATCATTTTGACTTTACTATCTCAACACAAAGCTTCCTTTTAGATGTCCAGGAGAAGATGGAGGAAAACAGGGGCACCCAATCTTTTGGCTTCCCTGGGCCACACTGGAGAAGACTAATTGTCTTGGGCCACACACAAAATATACTAACAATAGCTAATGAGCTAAAAAATAAAAACTTTGCAAAAAACTCATAATGTTTTAAGAAAGTTTACAAATTTCCGTTGGGCTGCATTCAGAGGTATCCTGGGCCACATGCCGCCCACAGGTCACGGGTTGGACAAGCTTGGAGTGGAGGATCTTGCACTGGCAATTAATTGAGTGCTGTAG